TAAACAGCATATTTTCACTTCGGTTACTGAAGATAAACATTTTCAATAGGTACCGGAAAATTGGTTGCACATGTTTGGAATCAAATTTCGAATAGGATAGAAACTGCCTTTACAAATAAGACATATGGATCTAATTAAAGATATTGAAAGCCGCCTACCCAACAAACATTGGAAGCAGAATAAGAGCTTATTCAGGCAAAAATATACTTTTTTTTTTAATAAACCGGATCCAGGAAATGAAACTTTGACAGGTTTTATTTCTATCTACAACTGTGTCGCAGACATAAATTCGATTAAAAGTGATGTGTGAATGCTTTGTGGTTTTAGAAAATTATCGAATACACCATTTTCATTGTTAATACAAGATTCTAAATGGGCGAATTTTAGCACTACTGTGTATTTTTGCCACTCACAAATAATTCAAGATCAACAGCTGAACCAACCATTTTGTAAAAAAACCTTGTAAGGTCATATTGATACGAAGTGCAGTCCGCCAACTCAAACCAACAAAATGAACAGGTATGGGAAATTCTCCTCTACCCGTTTGAGTTTGTTTGCAAATGTAGGTTTCAGTTCCCGACAAAATGGCCTTACAAAGTTTGGTTACAAAATTGAGTTAAGGCCTTTTGAATTGTTGGTCTTGAATTATGCATAATTTCATGCAACCCACAGAAAGCCATGCATGATCGATTTGTCATTAGGTTGCTCAATTTCATTTGTGAATCAAACTCAAATTATTTGTTCTTAAATTCATAGCTTGTGCCTCAAACTTCTCCTCGGGCTTTCAGAAGCCCTCTTAACTTTGTCACATAGAAATAAAAACCGTCAATTCACTTATCACCTCAAATACGGTTTTACTTTTCATCACTTTGATTTCGTTTTCTGTCCTTACTGTCTAGTATAATACCGTGTGATCAAAGTTGAGGTAAGTCAGGACTTTTATCTCTCATTCCAACGACGTATGCGGTTTGTATGAGTAGGTCGCTGGTAGACTCTACCTGGTTGATTGGATTTTTTTTCAACTGATTTCCCTACTTTTTTACCAGCTTAAAGTTTCCTCATGGTGGCATGGTGGCATGGTGGCATCAGCAAAAGCTGGTGATATCTGTCCTACCCCCTCGAATAAAAGGAGCATTTTTCGCGGTGAATGGTGCTGGTAGGGACGAGTGTAAGCTGAAAAGCTTTCTACGAACCTTTATCGAAAGATACAGATGGCAAATTTACATTTTGATTGATACTTTCGTCTGTTCAATTGTTGGTGTGTTACATTTTGTTTCGTTGACAAAGATAAAACAAATGGAAAACGTTTTGCAGGTTTTTTTTGTTTTGGACTGCTCGTTGTTTGTTGAGATATATTTTCAATTCGATGATGTATGTTCTGATTGACACATTTGCTTTTTACATGCTACGTGTTTCTCCTTAATCTTCGTTCATCACTTTTCATAATCGAAATCTTCACTTGAAGGCTACAGCTCTGCAAGAATTGTTCCGTTTTTAGATCACCGCCATCATATCATGTAACGCCTACAACTACTAACCTGTTTTCTATTTGATTTCCTCCTTATCTCGGTTTTGTTTTCCTTTGCCTAAACATACAAGTCTAGCTGGATGCAGTCAAGTGTAATGTTTCAACTACAAATTGAGTTACTGTAAGTTATTTCTTCACATCATACGAAACTTGCTGTGCACACCGATTTTCACTGGAACTTGCCTACGAACCAGAGCAAAACAGTACTGAAACGGCAACCAGAATGTGATATCCCTCTTTGAAGCTAGAAGTTCCATGAATCACGTTTCGAAACTCTCACAATAGAAATTTGAATTTCAAAAGCACCGCTCACCGTTCTGGGAATAAACGCACAACTAAGTTTAGCAAACTTTCGCCAAAGAATGCCAAGGCCTTGCGAATGTGTGAATTCATCCAGCTCTTGTATTCCATGCCAGTGTAGTCGAGTGAGAATGACTTTTTTCCGGGAAAAGTTTCCCGGTAACCTTCACCGGCTGCTTGGGTTGCTTTCCCACTCTTCAGGATGTGAAATCGAAACCCACGACAAAAGGGCTCAGCTTCCGAACACCCACCGCCACTGTTCCATTCATGGAAACGTTTGCTATAAATTATGAAATAATAGCTATTTATATTTATTTATAGCACTCGCCTTTCAACTGTATAGTTGCCCATTGGTGATTTATCCCGGGCCCCGGACGGGGTCTATATGCAGCAGCATTAACAGAAGCGCTCGCTAGCTCGCTAGCTCGCTCGCCGGATCCCTGATAGGGATGCAGTTTGATGCACGTACGAGCAGCGTCCAGCTCAGAGTGGTCCTGGCGAACGTCGTTCCCGTAAATAAACACGGCACATAAAAAGATCGTGTAGCAGTAGGTACCTATTCGTGCACTTTCCATGCAGTACTATCAACAGAGAGAGAGAGAGAGTAGGTCGTTGTTGTTGCCATTTTTGTTGTTTGGATTATTTATCTGGTGTGAAGGCAGACACGTATCCTGCAGCAGGACTCTCGAACCGTCACGTGTTTGTGCACATAAAATGTAAAATGCATGGATGCTCTTTGCAACAAGCGCCTCTCTTGCAGCCGAAGAGCACATCATGTAGGCTGGACTTTGGTAACCGTGGGTGGTAGCGCCATCGCTGTTGAAGTTGGGCGATCTATACCATATGGAATGGAGGAATTTAATTAGCTGCTAGAATTCGCTTCTATACTTTAATTCGATTTTTTTTCCTGAGTCGACTAAGGTAGGCACTGAAGAGGTCTGTGCGTTGATAACGAAATGCCCGTATCTATTGAATTTTTGTTTGAGGTAGTGGAATGAAATAAAATGAACAATGAGTAAGATGTCATTCAACTGTCGGAAAACAAAAATAGTCTGCACTGTTCTTCATAAGCACCCGTCCGGATAAATTGATTTGATTAAACTTAATCAAAATGAACTCCTTGTTATAACCCGCTACCCACTATGTCTGTACTCAACCATTAGTATTGAAGAAAAGCAACCCTTTCAGTATGCGCCAAGTGAAATTCGCATTCACTTCCACGTTATACAGATAATGGAAAATGAAGCCGTGCAAAAGAGACACCGTCTCAAAAATGTCGCTACGCCCCACTTGCTTCCAAAAGCAGCTCTACAGTGGAAGGAAATCATTGTAAAATTAGCCACGAGAAGCATTCCTTTCTCCAACATCGAGAGAAAATGCAATACATAAGTATACACGTTGACTACAGTGGAAAGAGGAGAAGGATAGTAACTTTTTCCCATAGAACCTTTCTGCTTCGTGACACAACACTTTTTTCCAAACTGATTTATTGCATTTGGTGTAGATTCAGGTCAAGCGAGAGTTTGGCTCCACTAATGCTGCTACTTACACACTGTAGATGTCATAATGTAAGCCTCAGGAAAACATCTGAAATATTTATCTCGCAATGACCAGGGACCACGTGTCGCATCAGACTGGTCACAATCTCGCTGTCGTATTAAAGCATGTCGCCTGCAGTTATCCTGAGAAACACCACGCCAAATACGGATGTTTCCGCAGCAACAACACACACAAAATACTGCAGTTTCGCGTCGACGGATTATGACATATCCTCTGGCATTCATGACGAGCAAGCGGAGCAGGCTTTGTTTGATTCAAAACACCGAATGACACAAGAGATAAAGCACAATAATTAAATTCCCAGTAAAAGTTCTTCTTCGGCTCCCATTCCACAATGGACCTGTGCACACGTAATACGCTAAGATATGATAACTTTCTCTGCAGAGTAGAGTGAAGTGGGCGAACAAAAAATCTGATTCGCTCGAGTTCTTTCCACTCAAATGCAAAGTTGAACCCCGTTAACTGGAAATGGGAAGTGGGAGGGGGAGAAAAGTTTGCTAATGACATACTTAACTCGATTAAATATTTTCCGTTTCCTGCGGGGCATCCCTTGTCTCATCATATCCATATCTGAATTAGTGCGGTGATGAAAAATTTGCTGCATAAAACATTAATCCGAAGTACACTCCGGGAGCAATGCGGTCGGGATTGGGAATATAAAAGAAATCCTCCGTCTGTCAGAATGGTAATAGTATTCATTTGATTTGGAGACATCTGAATGTGCCATGCTTTTTTGTTTCAAGGTGCTCGGTTTTATGTAAGCATTGTTATTGAACAATAACACATCCAAGTGATGAAAACTCGTCATAAGTGCATGATCTGCCAAGTGTGACTTCTAATTGAATGAAAAACTTTTGCGAAATAATTTAATTTTCGTAGAAAACTATAGAACAGTGCTTGTTCTGCAAGATGTTGTACGTATACATATCGAACCGTTGCGTTGTAAGTCGACTGTCGACAGAAGCAGGCCATTCTCGATGTGTCACACGATCGTCTGTTTAATCGGCAGCAACCATTGTAAGGTATTCCTCATTGTTCTTCATCAGCAGTTCTTTCGGTCGATGCGTCGTCGACTTTGGACAGCGCTCTGCCCCCCGTTGGCGATACTGCCATTCAATGGAAGCGGCTCCCGTTCTGATGGAGGAAGATGGATAGCGTTAGATAATGTGTTTAATGTGCTGTACCTTTTAAGATGTATTGTAAACAATAATACTCGGCTCTGTAACGTTGATTCGATTGAGGCTTATCAAATGAATTAATAAACAACAACAAAAAACACTGAAACGTTGAACCACAGGCAGCAAATAATATCTTCATTTCTATTATTTGATATCTGTTGTACCAAACAACCCCGAAAATGTTTTCCCCATTAGTCACAAACAAATATTGCTTGAAGCATATTTCGCAGTCATCATCAATTCTGCTTGGTTTCGTCCGAGCAAAAGCATACCACATTTTTTCATCTGTACCTAGATGTACCTAGATACCGATATGTTTTCATTCCAGATTTGTTTTTCTTTTTCTTTTATCGTTGTTCCAGCTTTCTGTAACGCAAAGTGTACTACATTTTTCTTCTCGTTTTTATTTTTCTTCCATCACAAAAAACAAACAGGTTGGCTTGGAGCTGCTAGCTGGGCCATGTCTCTGTTGGCGGCAACCATTGTAGTGGCACTGTGCCGTCGAAAGTCAACCCGTCTTACGGCCGTTCTCGGCGGGCTGGTGCTCGCGCTGGGGATCCTTTTCACCTCGTTTGCCACTCAGCTGCACCAGGTGGCGTTCAGCTACGGTAAGTTGACATCATGGTTTAGAACTTAAGTTTTTGTTTTCTATAGAACGTTTTTTGCTGTCTATAAAATAAGGATTAAGTTTATTAAGTGTTTTTAGAGAAGCTTTTAGTTGAAAAAAAGGCTCAACCGATGAAGGAGTAGTCCATAAATTTAACTCATTGGGACTTGAAAATTGTAACTTTTTTGACTGGCGATTTACTCATCACTTCTATAAGCTTTGTTGAATAACACATTTTACTTGCTTGTCATTTTCATTGAGATATGAAGCGTTTATTATGTTAAATTCAATTTTTAAGCTTTAGATTTATTGTTTGATTTTTCCAAGGCAATCAATCAATAAAAATTCTAAAAGTTGACCGTTTCGTATCGGAATTCTCTTGAATCATCGCTGTATATTCACAGGCTTGTCAGATAGCATCACAGTTCGAAAAAGTAGTGTAAATTTCTGTTCAACATGATGCACATAAATTGAGCGTCATATATCATATAAGTTTACATTATCTATCATATAAAGTTCTGACACATTTCATGCAATGTAGCAAATATTGTATACAAAAGCCCATCTTTGTAAACAACATTGTTTACAAGTTGCTCGGTTGCGTGAAATGAAATACAAGTTTACGTGAATGAATGTTTACATCACAATTAAAATTCAGAATTTTTATCTGTGCATGTCACAGTCTTCAGCAAAGTTGCGTTATCAGCCATTCCCCAACAAACAATTCAAAGTCAAAAATAAGCATACACATTGAACAATACTGAATAAAACAGGATGTCAAATTATGTGCTGAAAAAAGCTCATTGAGATCGATAGATGCGCCTTTATTCCGCTGTTAGCTCTGATATGATTAATTTAATTATTAAAAGCTTTATAAACGTTGACTGTCTTCCTGATTCAGAACCAGAGGTTTGATCTAATAGAGGTCTTATAAATGTTTTCTAGCTCCATTATTAGATTCCATTGCATTGCTTTACAATATTGCTGTATAAAGGTGAATACAGTCAGCAAAATAGCTCTTATACCACTATGCGTCCATGTTTTAATTTCATGCTTTGTAAATGCTTTACAAACGGCGTATTCATTCATTATTCCACAACACTGCTTCAGGTTAACAACAAAACGAAATTGGTAGCATAGTGGTTACCGTTTCCGCTTTCCAAGTAGAAGGTCGGGAGTTCAATCCCAACCTCAACCCTTTTTTTATTTATTTTCTACGCATAATTAATTTAAATCGTAATCATAGATCGTATCACTCACGACAACCAATTCATAGACCTATTGAAAAGAATAGCATCCTTTCCATCGAAATTAGAGAGATGGAGAGGTAACGTTGGTGGCATGTTAAACAACTATGAATGAATTAATCATGCTCACATCTCCTTGAATTAGCTAGAGTGCTGATAGGTTTTCAGATTCAAGCTTTTATTACTTATTTAGCTGCCCATTTGATGTATTCTAGGATAGCTCAGATGGCAAGGCAAGCCGCTGGTGATCGGAAAGTCATGGTTCGAAACCCATCCAACGATGTGTATGTAATAGTGTATGTAATAAATTTTCTAGGATCTATACTGCTTCGACAAAAGTAATGACACTACAAACACAACCCTGCTCTTGCACCGTTCTTTATTTTTGGATTAATTATCCCGTTGTTGAATAATAGTTTAATAAATCTATAATAGTGTCTAATTAAACATTATTTCACATGAGAATCAAGCGTCTCTATTATTATACACCTTTATACCAACGCTGTTTAAGGAAGTAATGATGTCTAATAAACGCTGAATAATCAAAAATGTGATTGAATAAGCTCTGATACAACTTTTGTAAGTCGAATAAAAGCTTCTCGACCTACCTTATTCAACACCAAATATTTCGATGTTGTGGTTGAATAAATTCTCCAAATTTGTGTGAACAAAGCCTGAAAAGAAGTTATTATTAAAAATAGTACAAGTATTATTAAGCATGAAGTGGAATAAAATCGTCAAGAAGTCGTTTCTTCAATAGACAATTGTTTGTTAGGTCCATATCATAACGATATAGAGGTTCTCACAATTACGCCTGAAATTGGTAATTTTGTTCCTTATCGCAAAATATTAGACACGCATTTTTATTTTATCGTTAGGATGGTTCCACATTTCCATGTTATAATGGTCCAAAAAATCGTTTTTTTTTTTCAAAATTCATAGCTTTTGAACCACTGGGCTGCTTCAAAGATCAAAATATTAAATGAAAGGTAATTAAATAATGTTTCAGACAAATGTAATGATATTAAAAAAAGAGATTTTGTATTGAAAAACATTGATTGTATTTTATTTAAAAGCCATAATTTTACTAATAACTTCAATATTTGAAAAAAATCCTACGTAGTCATTGCCAACTTCTCCTGCACACGTTTTACATCAAAAAATGTAGCACCGTATTAGTTTTTGAAAACATTTGTCCCATTTTGAGATTTGATTTATGTGAAATATCATCCACCCCTTGCACTTGGGGCAGGAGTTCATCCGATGCCCTTCCATCTTTCAAAGGAAACACATTTTTTTGTTTTCTTGATAGAATATTTCTCCCTTCCAATTGAGTAAATGCAGCGAGTTGGGAATATTCTTTTTATGTCCGTGAAAATTCTACGGACACCTGTCAACCTATCCAGTGGATGGAAATAAACGAAGCCTATCCCTATCCCAAGGGGTAAGTCACTCAGCACATTGTGCCGAAATTAGATTCGGTAAAGTTTGGGCTCATCGATCGGTACACCCTCGGCACAATCTTGTAGGCATTGGATTAATGTAAATAAAATGAGAGCACTGCTGGACAACTGTCATTGAAGTTGTTCACAACCTTACGTGCAGTTTGACTGTATTTTCAGGAACATTCTCTAATTTAGTATACCAGAGAAACTCAGAACAGCAGTTTACTTACAGATCTAAATATGAAATGTAGGTTGGTCTCAGGAGAAAGAGGCAGTTAGCACCCCATTAGTATCATCAATTCAAATAAAGCTGCAACTCACACAAAACAAACTAAAGAAGTCTATTCATCATCCTCTATAGTCAGTCTCCAACAATGCTCCCCACCGGTTCCAACTCTTTCCGGCCGCTGATAGACCGATGCTTTTCGCACCACGAAAAGTTAGGTTTCCGGTCTACTTTTGAGGGCATTATAAGCTTGAGCTTGAGCTTGAGCTTGATTGACCGCCCACGGTTGCTACTCTGTTGCTGCCAAATCAGCTGTAATTACACAGAGAACCAATAGACGATGCTTGGGACTAGCAATCATCCTCAATGTGTAAAAACTGGTGATATTAAATTAGACAATACCAGCGCCGGCCGCGCCCGAACACAGGTCAAGAAAAGAATGGGAAGGATTGTGTTGACATGACACGCGCTTTAATGGAAGCCGAGAACACCTCTGCACTTCCACGAGGAATCACTGGGATATTGGGTAATGGGGTTGGGTTTGCAGCAGGGTTCGTTTTGGTAAACGATAAGCTGAATTGATGTCCTAACGATCATATAACGCGAAGGAACTTGGGACTAAACCCACGGTCTTCTGCTCAGTAAGCAAAAACGTTTGCCACTAGGCAGACGAGCACCTTTTTAATCACCGAGTTGCTGTTATTACCATGTAGTCATATTAACAAATAAAACGAATGACGAATCTTGAATGTGGATGGGCCTGAGATAAGACTCATGATGTTCTGCTCAGTAAGCAAAAACGGTTGCTCTAAGGCCACCGAGCTCCTCATATCACATAATAATGTTGCTCAAATTTGTGTATCCATTCAACCCGGAACCAACGACAACAACGAGTTTCGCAAAATACACGATACACAAGCGATTTTACCATAAATCTCTTTGATATGTAAGGACCTGGGACCGCGTTTTTCTGCTCAGTAAGCAGGCCACTGTAACCGACGATCTTTCAAATCCGAAAACTAAAAACTACGAAAAAGTACTTAGGCCTTCATTAAGTTCCACTTTCACGCGACGTTCAATGACAGGGTCCTATCCAGGATTACATCTGAAAAATCCAAATCTGGCCAACGCCCACCCTAAACCTAAAGCTGTTCTAATCCACCTGAAATGACTAACGAATGGAAAACTTTGAACACCCAGCCATGCAATAGTCTCATTCCGTGCCTTATGGCAACTTGATGATTCTATTGCGCTCATCTTTTGGCACCACCCAGGGGAGACTTGGTCCTGTACTCAATGCTTAACTTATCTCCATTCCACTCAGCTACTCGCAATTTCTTGTGATATAGTGGGCGGAATATTATTATATGAGACAATTCAATGCAGACGTCTTTCCAAATTTGGCAGATCGACAGGTAATCGGTGAGTTACCACGATAGTTGCTATTCAACAACTCGACAACGTCCCATCGTCAACGCCTGCTATGAGAATTCCCCATTGCAGACGCCAACGAAATGACGTCATCGAGCTATCGATCAACTACCCTGGTTATCGCCTGGTACCTTATAGCACGATGCTAGGAGGCGAACCGGAAGAATCGATGAGCTACCTCTCCCCCTCTACTTTTGAGGGCATTATAAAGCACTAAAACACAGGACTTTTATTACCCTATGGAACACAAAACACCAACATTTAGCACACCCGCCACTTCTCGCGTCATCCTGAATTCGATTTATCCTTGCGATTTCAAACCAAAACATTCAAGGTGTCAGAAATACCGGGTGGCGGAATGGGTATTTTACAAACAATCGCAGCTTGCTCTATTACCGGCACAATCGGCACACCTGCGGCACATTTGAGACACACTGACAAAAAATATGACCCAATATTGGTGTGCGGAGTGACCTACCCTTTGCCCTTTCCACTTTTTTTCCTCCAGATAATATCCCAGTAGAAATTATCCGGATAATTTTAACTTGGATATTATCCATTATTTTTCTATCCCGATAGTATTCGGATAGACTCCGAACAGTGTATGTTTAGAATATGGATGTTTGATATCAAATATGCACCCATCAATATG